GGATAAAGGTACTATGTTAAATAAAAATGGTGGCTAATTGGAATTATATTATACTAAATAAAAAAATTTGCTGGCTCGTGCTCGTGTTCAACGTACTTGTGGGTTAAAGAGATCAAACTTTTGAAAATATCTTTCATAAGTTGTGTACTAGTAAACACCTTCTCGGTCATACATTACCGAGAGAAGCACCTAAACCGATGAAATCCACACTTACGTTACCTCTTCGGCTTTGGACTTGGCCGAATACCCTTTCTCGACCTTAGAGATAGTCGAATACTTTTCCCACAGTAAAAGGGCAAGAAAGCACTCCAGAACTGGGCAAAGGAACATTAAAAGGAAACGCTCAATCACTCGGTTTAGATCATAACCGAATACCCCTTCGGCCTTAAGCTTGGCCGAACCCCTCTTCGGCCGTAAGCTTGGCCAAACCCCTCTTCGACCTTAAGCTTGGCCGAACCCCTCTTCGGTTTTAAGCTTGGCCGAACCCCCCTTCGACCATGAGCACGACCGAACACCTCTTCGGCCAACAGCTTGACCGAAGACTTAGAGAATGTCAATTGACTGGAAACGTATGGTACATTAGGATATCCATTACAAAATGATTATCACATCTGATTAAGAGAAATCAAGGTTAACCAAGGTATTACCCGTCTCCTAAGACAGAAGGCCCACCAGGCTCAATTATGTCACTATAAATACACAGGTGATGGGATATAAATGATGTACGTTTTATCCAATATAAAAGTCTTTATTGCTCTATACCGAACACTTACTTGATCGTCGGAGTGCCTTTGCAGGTACCCTCCCCATCCTTTGGAGACAGTATTCGGTCGGCACCGAAGACTTAGAAGATCACAAGGAAGGAGCAACAAGAGGAGTGTTTCTAAACAGGAACAAGTTGAAAACTCAATATTATCCAACAATAGTTGTACAAATAGTGGTCATGCGCAGGTTAGGATTTCACGCGAAAAAAATTAGACAAAAGTATACTTTTAATTTCTATAATTTTGTTAATTCTTAATTTTGTTTTTTGTTTTTTTTTATATATTTTAAAATAAAGATATTTAGTTCATCTATTTATAAAAATAAATTTTTTTGTCATGTCAATAATTTGATGTTCATTGATTATTAAATTTTAATATTGTTTGATGGTTCATCATCACTCAAATGATGAGATATTGAATAATGTGAGATATATGAATAAAAATAAAAAATAATATACAAAATATTCATATATGTATTTATTTCAAAGAATTATTGATATTTATTTTATTAATTAATTTTATTTTCATAATTATTTTTGTTAATTTTCTTATATTCAAATATCATACTTAAGTATAAGTAAATGTTAAAACTTAACAATTAATTTATTTTAATTTGATAAGAGTATGAAAATTTCATATTTCTAAATCAAGGAGCTAAATGTCTCTATTTAGGATCAAAATTATGGATTAAAAAATAAGAAGGTCAAAAGTGCAATTTTTTAAAAAAGTTAATGGATTTTCATAGCCACGTCAACTACTCGTAAACGGTGTTTGACAAAAACCAACAACAATGACTGATTTGAAAAAAAAAAAATGTATTCCATAAAGACTAAAAAAGTATACCTATACTTGCTAGGAGATACTTCTCTATCTCTTGCTAATACCTTCATTCCTTTTCACTCTCCGATCCAGTTGTTTGTCTATGTCAAGAGGGTGCACTTGCAAACGATACTCTAACGTTTAAGTAAGTTACTATCTTGATGTATTAAATACGAATAATAAATAATAACTTTATCTCGAGATACAAATTATTTATACTAATCGTAATAGACCCAAATTTCGATGGATAAAAAATTAGGATTATCAATTAGATAATACAAAAATAATTAATTTCGTACCAATGATTAAGCCTTAATCATCTTGGTTATCATAACTTATGGGTTTTACATATCGTTTAACCATATTAACTACCAAAAGATCAAATAAGATTGGTTGAATTGAACATTCTTATTTATCTCGAATCATTTGGTCGTAAATTATTAAAAGGACAAGTCAAGCTTGTTCTTATAGCCTAGACTATCGAGGATGCCAAAAATATTGATTCAAGAAGTTATGCAAAATGCATGCATGCTTGAAACGTGATAATTTTAATTTGAGTTTCAACAATTCTTGTGGGGTATGGTTCTATGATCATGGTTGGGCAAATTAAACATTCATTCATGATTGGATTAGTTAGACTTCGCCAAATGTTGGAATTAATTGGATTGATCGAGTCATCAAGAAGAATAGATCACACATTGAAGCAAAATTTAATTATAAAAATTGTTTGATTGGGGTATGAAAGCTTGCATTAAGAAATCCAGAAATGAAGGGTGTGTTTGGTGGTTGTAACATGGACAGCAATATATCTTAAACTCAATTGTATTATTTCTTTGTGGTTGTGGCCATAAATATTTTAGTTGTGATTATCCTTTCCAACATGCTCTTGTGTGCTCTACCTCAACAATAATAACCACTCCCAACTGTATAATATTATTTCTGTGACTTAATTACGATTTTATCCTCATAATTATATTTTTAAAATTTTAATTAAATAATTTTAATCTCTTAAATATTACAATTGTATAATTTTAATATTTTAAATTTTAGTTATATTTTTTATTACAAGATTATCAATAACTTTTTCATAATCAAAATTATTTAAATTTTTTTAATAAAAATTAAAGCAAAACTATTTAATCTATTATGTGACATGATATATTGAAAATAGGATTTTAACAATTTTAATTTTAAAAAACTCCTTTCAACATACACAACAGTAATAAGAATAATTAATATTATTCCTCAATAAACTATACATGTATTAGAAAAATAATTAAATGTCTTCAAAATACTAAATATCATAAAACTTGATTTTGATTCAATTGTTAAAACTTCTCTAATGACTATTAATTCTTCAAATAAAATTTTACTATCAAGATCATAAGAATTATTATGAATTATTATGTTTTATAAAAGTTTCAAGATGTTTACAACATATAATTTCAAGTTCTAGTCACATGATGATCTAAACACTACAATAAATATTACATATAGTGACATACAAAAAGTGTCACTATAAGTGTAATATATATAGGTATATATCTATTTGATATATAATTATACATAATTTTAGTAGTGTTGATTTTGAAAGAGATTTAACAACATATTTTGTGTGTCACTATAGCTTATACTCACACTTTTTAACAATATACCAACATATATTATATTTATTGTGTAGGTAAAAATAGTTTTTAGTGACACATATTATGTCACTATAGGATGTGTGTCACTATAGGATGTGTGTCACTATAGTTAAACTTTTTTCATTCTTAAACAAAAATTTAAAATTCTCCTCGCTCAAATCTTCTATTAAGTGAGCTATTTGCTTGATCTATAATATATTAAAATAATAATGAATTCTAACAGACTCCTCGACAAACTCAAGGATTGATGCAACTAGAAGATTTTTTATCAAAGTGTTTTATTTTTATACTAATTTGACATTTCTGAACTAACACACATTCAATCTCCATTTTACTTGCAACTTTTTTAGCACTTTCAATAAGATTTGTGTTAAATCAAAAGATGATCTTGTGTTAAGTCTTGGATCCTTGAAGTTTTAATAATAACAAATAAAAAATTTTCTTTTAAGCAAAGTCAAAAGATACATTATATCAGATAAAATGTGGAAAATATATATCATTTACAAGATAAAGGAAATTAGATGAAATATATCGCGTTTGTTTCTATGCATTAAATGAATACTTCCAAATGAGACTAACATTAAATTTTATTTAATGTGTTATTTCTTAATAGATCGAACAAGAGAGATGTCTCGAAATTATCAAAATACGTACGTTAAAGAAGAAAAAGACAAAATATTTGTGAGAAGTAAAAGGCAAAATCCTGGATATCACGGAAAAGACTTTACAAAAGACTGCTCTATGCTAACTTCAACTAATTTGCACTAACATTACTTCTGTCATGCTCAATTTAGAAGGAACTGATGATAAGTAGTCTGCTTGATCAAATAAAAGATATACGCTCTTCTAAGAAGCATTTAATGCTCACATTAAATGGATTAATGATAATCTCTAGGATCAATAAAGAAGATAAAATAAATAAATTGAAAAGCAAATTGAAAGTTCAACTTAAAGTTGTTGTAATGATCATCTTCTTTGAAGCTACTATAAAATGATCAAGCCTTTAAACACCAAAAAATAGAGTTGTACTTATGCAAAAGAATACTTGATGTTGAGTTTGAAAATACTTATTTGAAAAGAATACTTAGTATTGAGCTCAGAGAGACTTGGTTTAAAGAATATTCAGTGTTTGAGCCTGAAGAAGCTTGGTTGAAAGAACACTTAGTGTTAAGTCTAAAGAGGTTTGTTGAAAGAATACTTGAATAGTTGCTTGAAGTGACAAGTCAAAGATTACTTAGATTTGAGTTAGAAATGACTTAGTAAAAGAATACTAATAACTTAGTAAAAGTTAGTGAAAACTCAATCTGGTTAGATTGAGAATTGGACATAATTTCAGTGATTGAGACAAACTAGTATAAAAATACCTGATACTTTATTTGACTCTTTTCTAACACTTCGTCTGTTAAGTTATTTTCTTTTCATTGCACAAACATGCAAGTTTTTGACACACATTATTCAACCTCCTTTCTAGTATATGTCTTTTGTTTATCAAATTGAGCATTTAACATTGTCGTGCACATCATTCTAGCTAAATCCTTTACTTTAGAATTCCTAATAAGTCTAAACATTGTTAAATAATAATTGTTATGATCAATATTAAAATTTAAACAATCAACAAATGAATATTTGACAATTGGTTTAAAACTATGAATTTTATAAAATTGAATGATTAAATTTGCACAATTAAAACAGAAGAATGAATATTATAGGATTAAAAATACAATTTAACATATTTTAAATTAATAACAAACAAGAAAGTTCAAACGCATTTGTATCATATAGCACATTATAGTTGCTTGAAATCGACTTATAAACTAACATTTTGAGTACTTCTTAACTTATGCTTCACATGCATGAAATTTAGTTAATTTCATGATGATCCTCTATTAGCTGATTCATTCGCCTTATTTGTCTAAACATCAATGTTGCTTCATGTTCACTTGGTGTGGTATAATTCTGCAGGTAATCTTGGTCTTGCTACTGCGACTAGTGGCTGAGCAAGAAACATATCTGCTTTGGACTCAGCAAGATTGATGATTGACACATTAGGAGGTGCAGTCCAAGTGAAGCCATGGAGCAACCTAGCCAACAACATTACAGTTATTGTGGTGCCAAGCATTATTCCAGGACAACCGCGCCTTCCTGTGCTGAATGAAATGAACCTTAAATTTGGCTCTGTCATAACTACATCTGACCCATCACTCTTGAGGTGGCGTTCTGGTTTGAATTTGAGGGGTTCCTGCCACACTTTTGGATTTCTTCCAAGACCACTTCTACTCAGTAGTATATGACTACCCTTTGGGATCAAGTAATCAGCAACCACTGTATCCTCCATACAAACATGAGGAATAGTGAAAGGCACAACGGGATGAAGCCGAAAAGTTTCTTTCACGCAAGCCTTCAAAAAGCTGAGCTTAGGAATATCTGATTCTTGAACTAGTCTCTTTAGACCTACCACGTTGTCCAATTCTTCCATGGCTCGTTCAAGCAATTTTGGCTGGTTTATCATTTCTGCTAGTGCCCATTCAGATGCCTGTGTTGGATTGTCCACCACTGCCATCATCAACTCCTACAACAAGTTTAATTAAGTGTATATACTTTTAATTAATATATTACATATATATTAATATATATACTTGTTAACAGAAAACACTACAATAAAATAAACTTTTAGTGATATTTAATATGACTTTTAGTGGCAATAAAAATTGCTACAAAATCTTTTACTGGCATTTCACACATTAGTCATTGTATGCAGTGTCACTAAAACATTTACCGACAATTATTCTATATGCTGGTAAAGACCCTCATAATGGTCAGGAAAAGTGTATAACTTTTTGTGTCATTTGTTACTGACATTTAAAATTGCCACTAAAAATTTAAGAAAAGATTTATAATACTCTTTAATTATCTTATTTCTAGTCGATGTAGGACTTATAAGATGAGTACAAATAGTCTTTAGTTACCTTATTTCTAATTGATGTGAGACTTAGAAGATGAAGGTTATCTTCTAAATATATATTCTTTAATTTTTTTAATTATCTTATCTCTTAAATACCAACTTAGAATAGTAAGTTATATGCCTAACTTAACCTTATAAAACATACTTGTAAAGTGAAAGTTATCATTCACTTATATATTCTTTAATTATTTTATTTCTAGTTGATGTGGGACTTAAATTTTTTCTAATAAATAATTATCGCTAATAGTAAATTTTGATGTAATATAAATACATTTTTAGTGGTCATTATATAATAGTCATTAATATTTTTATTAAATAATAAAATAAAGATAATTAATTTATTACTATTAAATAATTGTCGGTAATATTAATTTTTGTTGTAGTAAAATTACGACTTTCACATGCGGCGATGAAACCATATCTCATTCTATAAGTGATGAATTTATTGATAAAAAATAGAATCATGTCACACTGTTGAATGACTATAAATTTGCAAAATATAATATAAACTTTTTCTTCTAAAAGTTTCCATGTTCTGTGACTAAATAAATTTGTGACAGAACATTCCCTATCTAACTGGTTCCGCCACAAATTACATTGTACATATTTATTAAGAACATTATTTGTTACTATTGTTGTTTTATATATTCGAAACAGAAAGGATAAAGTAGTTAAAAAAAGTTGTGGTTGTTGGAGCATAATCGCAATAGACAAAGGACTTACCGTGAAGTATTTATACTTATATATAAAGAAAATATTTTATTTGATAACTTTATTTTTAATTTTTAATTTTTCTTAGACATCTTTATAATTTGTTTTCCATAATTTCTAAGATCACTTACTCTCCGTATAAACAAAACACTCACTTTCAATTATTTGTACGGCTACTTTCAAATCTTAATATTTTTTCTTTTTCTCTTGCACCTACCTTCTTCCAAAACTATTTTGCTGAAAAATAATGCCTCTTTACCATGCTAGTTCTTATAATGGGAAAATGCATGTGTTGGTGTGCATGAGTGAAAAATAAAATGGAGAAAGGGAAAGACCTGATACTTTTAATTTGCGCCTTGATTTCCTTGACTGTCAACAATGGATTATCATTGACATCCTTGAGTGAGATCATAACATCCAGCAAGTCCTCTTCAACGGTCTTTGACCCATCTTTCCATTGCTTGATTCTCTCTTCAATGATGGGATCATGATATTTCTTCATGATCTTCATAGCATTCTTCACGTCGCCCTTATGGCCATCCAAATCAAAGATCCTCAAAAATGGGATATAATCAGAAACGTAAAAGGCATAAACGTGTTTAAGCAAAGTGAAAATGGCATTTACATGCTCTACTTCTTCTAAACCAGCCCCTCCATCTTCCCTACCCTTTCCAAAATACCTTTTATTAAAAATTAATTTCCTAATCACATTACCACCATAATGCTGAGAAGCATTCCTAACATTTACAAGACTACCATCATTCGTATTTTTGCATTTGTTGAAGAGGAAAAGCATAAGGTTGTCAGCTTCTTCATTCCTTTTGTCTTGGAGCCACTGATGCCTACGAGGAGAGAACAAATCATTGACTATGATTTTCTTCATTTTTTTCCATTGTTCACCAAAGGGTACAAGAGCTGTTGTCACATATCCACTAGAGATGATACGTGTGGTTATACTTATTGGTCTTGAAGCAAAAGTAGCATCTTGTTTTCTTAAAAATTCACGTGCAATGGTGGGGCATGTCACTGGAATTACATGGACATTTCCTAAGCGAATACATGCAATTTCAGTGTCCATTTCTTTCATAAGATTATGTATCCACCGAAACACAGGTTTGTTTGTAAGCATTTCAGGGAGGTTACCAATCATGGGCCAAGGTTTGGGACCAGGGGGTAGTTTTGGTTTCTCATTTTTGTGAGATCTTAAGGCTTTGATAATTGTAAGGCCAGAAATCATAATAAACAAACAAGACCAAAAGGATAGAAGCTGCCTCCCGAAAAAATCAAAGGAGTAACCCATATGGGAAAAATTATCTTTAATGAACAAAAGAAATGAGTTGTGTTCAAAGAAATGAGTTGTGGTCACTTTAGAAAAACATGGTGCCTATTTATAGTGGCTGAAGCGAAGGGCAAGAGATGCTGCCAAATACTAGCTATTTCATCTACTGTATTTCTCGACCTGCAGGCAGAGAGAGAAAGAAACTTGATTCTCAATCCTTTTAATTTTATTTTTCAATCTTTATGAAACTAATAACATATAAAAAGAAATTTCCAATCATTAGATCATGACAGTAGGGTGAAATTATGTTGACCTCCTGTTCTTGGTATTTTGAAATTTAAATATATGTAAGCAATTTGTAATCAAAATTAGATTGAAAATGTGATATAGGTTAAGTGATTTTGAACTTATAAAAAAAAAATAATCGTTGCAATTCATTATTTTGATCATTCATCGGTGTAATTAATTATGTCATCACAAACTACAAAAACGGATTTTTTTTTTGTTTTTTTTTAATATGCCAAGCTCTGAAAAATCTAATACCAGAATTTTCTTTTATGGAATTCAATTTTGATACAATTTTTAATATGTTTGTTACATTATTTTAGTAAAAAAATATTTGAATTTCATATAGATAAAGAGTCTTATGTCTTAAATTAATCTTAAGAAATTCAAATTTGTGCTCTAAAATAAAAAATTATTATTATTTCGATCGGATAATCTTAACTTAATAATTTTTAGGATTCAAAATGAATGTTTTGAAAAATTTATGGTCCAAAACAAATTCTAGTGAAATGATAAGAAAAAATAATTATATTTTAGCAAAAAAATAACAACATAAATTTTGAGCTCAGTAACCACGCATTGAGATATGGTCTTTCAGTTATTTATTCTTAGAGACAAGTCTATCACACATAGTATTTTTGTGATTAAATCTCAACTTATAATCGACTTTCCCATAGATATAATATTATTACTTCCGTTGAAATTATTTTTCTAAAAATTTTTATACACAGACGACATCACACTTAACGTCTCATTATCAAGCATACATTGATTATCTCGAGAAAAAAAGTAATATTTATATATTATACAATCAAATATCTAAATTATGAAGACGATATTACATGGAGTGATATATTAATTTGAGAAAACCTTAGTTTGCTTGAAAAAAAAGAGAGATTGATTGGTGCCATCCGGGGAGCTGGTCGACAAGAGTTGTTCAGCAATTTCACGTTTTAAAGGTTTAAAGAGTGCATTATTATTTACAGTAGCAATAAATCAAATGAACGTGAGTATTATTAGGTATAACAATAAGAAAGAGGTAAGATCTTACTTTTAAGTTTGTACTTCATGTGTTATATTTGATGATATAAAATTTGTGTCTTATCTTTATCTTTGTCAAATATTAGATATATTTTTACTAGTGGAAAATTAGCATATTACGTCACCTTTTTTACGTCAGAAATACTTAAATCTGACGTAAAAAAAATGCGGTGGCATTTTTGTAATTTTTGCGAACTTTTTTACGTCGGACCTGGTAGGGTCCGACGTAAAAAAGGACGCAAATTTGAATAAGAGAGCGTGAGGCACACCGCGCATTCACTCTTCCTCACTTTTCATTTTTTTCTCTCTAAACCCTCTCCCTCTCCTTTGTTACTGAATCGTTTTTTTTGTCTTTTGCAGAGGGATGAACCCTTTGTTACTCATTTGCACATTGTTGCTGCTCCTCAGATATGAATCAAGGTTTCCTTAACACTTTTCTACTTCGCATTGCTACTCTGGCTATCTGTTTTATTTGATTTTTTGGTTGTTCTATTTGTATAGGTAGTGGGCGTTTTCTTTTGAGTTGTTATACGAAGCTGAATGGCTCGTTCTGGAAGCAGAACGGCCCGTTCTGCTGGCATTTTTATATTTTTTTTTATATTTTTTTTCGTACTTTTTTACATTGGATGTCGTAATGTCCGACGTAAATTTACGTCAATTTTGTGAATCCGACGTAAAATTTACGTCTCCCACTTCTACGTTAGTATGTTTTCAGACATAAAAAGCTAAAAATGTTCGACGTAGTACACCTCTTTTGTACTAGTGTTTTACTTGTCTCATATTATCTATAAATTAATTAAATATTAAAAAAACAAGTATTCTAATTTAGTAGTAATTACAAAATTATGTTAATTAAGTTTCATCTAATATAAATTTTAAACAAAGTAAAATTTACAAAATTCTTAAATATTTTTTTTAAAATAAATTAAATTTTTAAAAATTTAAAATAATGATGAGGACAAGGATTAACATAAGACAAATACGAGATAAATATAGGAACAAGTAAGGGGACAAGATACACTATTAGAATTTTTTTTATTATATGCGATTTTTCCTGCGAATTTTTCATAAAAACTCGTAGGAAACGTTGTTCCTACAAATTTTTCTGTGAAATTTTATCTGCAGATAATACTTTCGTGGATAATATATTTTTGCGAATTTTAAAATTTGCAGGAAATTTTCCTGCGAAATTTCTTGCAAAAAAAAATCGCAGGAAAGTTTCCTACGAATTTTTTCGCAAGAAATTTTGCAAGAATATTTTTTACGAAAAAAATTAAAGAAATTACTATAAATTCTATCAATAATTTTTCAAATTTCAAATGCTCACAATGAATTCATCCGAAACATTTATTTCCATGCCTCCAATATGTGATACATAATCTTTTAAATTCTAAGATTATAGATTATAAGCCTAACACTCAACCATACAAATCAACTTGTAAGATAAGTGTTGCCCCAACTTATATACTCTATAATTACTTTATTTTTAATCGATGCGGGACTTGAAAATTTTTAAAATATTAAACTTATAAATTTAAATATATTTATTTTTTATTTTTTCTGCAGATTAAATTTTTAGCGAAAAATTCGTAAGAAAAGTTACCTACAAAATGTTTCTACCATTTAGGAAACATTACTTGCGAATTTATTTTTGCAAGAAAATCTGCAAGAAACAAAATAAAATTCTTACAATATTTTTTGCAAATTTTTATCATGAAAAAAAATTTCTATGATTATTAAAATTGTAGCAAAATTTGTAAGAAATATCAAGAAAATTCGTAAAAAGTTTATGCAAATAATTTTTTTGGAAGAAAATTTGCAAGAAAATAATACTTTTATAGTAATGATAGGGATGAAAATAGAAATTAAACAGATTAATATATATCTATCTCTATCTCCGATTTAATAAGTCGAGTATATGAGGACATGTATGAAATAAAAACAGATACATATACAGATATAGAATGGATAAATATATATACTTTCATATATTTGTATCTTATTTAATAAATGGATCGTAATACACATATCCTTATCTAGTTAAACTAAATATTTTCTGACAAAATTAAAATAGGTTCAAACATTATCTTCATAGAGTTTATTTATCCTTTCTAGTTATTATCAAGGGGAAAAAAAGTGTACAAAATAATCATGATGTAAACAATTATCTCTGCCTCTCCGAACATTGCTGCCATTTTCTCTCAGCCTCATGTTCGGTACCCTGGCCTCACTTAAATTTGTTCAATTTAAGTGAACCACGTGAACATCGTCATTAATGTAAGCCTAATGTTGTCCCTATGGTGCACGACAATGAACATTTAAAACAAAAGGTTGAGCTATTTTATTATCATTACAGTAGCAATATATTGTTCTTTTTACGTATCTTCTTAACTGTTAAAATAATGTGTCAGAGTTTATTTAGATATAAATCTAGAAAAGTTTTTAAGAATTTTTTATTGAAAAATTATTTTTATTTTTAATAGAGAAACTTATTTTTCAATAGAGAAAATCTAAAATATCTTGCTAAACTATGTTGAAATAAATTCTTTGTCTCGACACACTTATAATTGAGTTATCGACACTACAAGAATTTTGCGGATTAGCGAGGGAATATAGCGAGAGATATAAATTTCTCGCTAATTAGCGAGGGACTGGCGAGGAACACAATTCCTCTCTAATTAGCGAGCAAATAGCTTGGATTTATATCCCTCGTTACATAGTGATCATTTTGCGACCAACCTTTATCTCCTTGCAAATCTGTTGCTAAAGTTAGTACTTATTTAGCGAGGAACTTATGCCCTCTCAAATGCCTTGCAAATCCCTCTCCAAATTATGAGTCAAAATAGAAAAATGAATTTTTCATCTAGCGAGGGAGTTTTCGTGTCGCAAATCCCTCGCAAATGAGTTATAAGTACATCTCTCGCAAATTCCTCGCATCTCCTTCGCAAATTAGCGAGGGACTAGAGAGGAACTGTGTTCTTGCTGGTCCATTGCAAATTAGCGAGCAAATAGCTTGGATTTATATCCTTTGCTAAATTCTCTCTCTAAATAGTGATTATTTTGCGATCAACCTTTATCTTCTCGCAAATCCTTTGCTAAAGTTAGTACTTATTTAGCGAGAAACTTAGGCCCTCGCAAATGCCTTGCAAATCCCTCTCTAAATTATGAGCCAAAATAAAAAAAAATGAATTTTATATCTAGCGAGGGAGTTTTGTTGTCGCAAATCCTTCGCTAATGAGTTATAAGTATATCCCTCGCAAATTCCTTCGCAAATTAGGGAAGGAAAAGTTTTTTCACTAATTCCTTGCAAATAAGAGATTACGTTGCTTGCAAAACCCTCACAAATTTAGAGAACAAGACCCTCGTAAATTGTTATTAAATCCCTCACAAATTTAGAGAATAAATCCCTTGCAAATTGTTTTATAGTGTGTTTGGATGGGTAATTCATTTATTTGAAAATTTTCATATTCTTTGAGGTGAAATACGTTGTTTGGATGGAGAATTTATAAAGAATTTGAAATTCAAGTATATGTAAAATTTGTTGAAATAGTAAAATTTTAAATTCTCCCAAAAAAGTAAGAATTTAAAATTCCTCATATATTTTTTCTTTTTATTTTACTTATATATATATATATGTATATTTTATCTTATCTCTTATCTCTTCATTTTTTAATTATTGAATATTTAAAAATATTTTTAAAATTTATAAATATTATCTAATATTAATTTTAAAAATTATTAAATATTTAAAAATTAGCTAATATTTATTTTCATAAAATTTAATTTAAAAGTCTCAACATATAAATATATTTTTAAAAAAGTATAAGTTAAAGTAAAAAATCTGTAAGAATATTTAAAGGAGATAATTTATTCTTTAGACATTTTTGTCTTTATAACAATTTTTGAATTATTATCTCCCACTATTTTATTATTTAATTTTTATTTTCAATAAATCTCTAACTAGTCAAATACACACACATACATCTATTTATCTATCTATATATAGTCTCTTCCACATATATATATATATATAAGAAAAATTAATAACATTAGAGAACAACATAATCGTGTAAAAAATTGTTCTTATTGTCACACTCCTGGTCACACCTTACTGTAAATCTCCTAGCGGGTCATGCGAGCAAAGGATATGAACTTTCTGAAACTTACTACAATCATACCACATTTCATTTAGCCTTATTGTAAATTTCTCAGCGGGTCAAACTTCTCTCGGATGTTGTGTTTCTTCCAACTTTGTGGCCAAATCTAGAACACAAAAGAACTTTCAAGAGTTGGCCAAAATCCAGCAGGATTAGAACAGAGATGGACATTAGAGAATAACATAATCGTGTAAAAAATTGTTCCTATTGTCACACTCCTAGTCACGCCACCATTGATCTTTATTGTTGTAATGAATTTTAATAAATTTATTTAGTTATATTTATAATGTTAATATTCAATAAATTTAATCACTTGATGGTAGTCTCTGAGTTTTGGTATTTAATAAGTGAAAATAAAAAAAAAAAGCCTGAATCTGTAGGTCAGAATGGCCCGTTCCGGATTCAGAATGGCCCATTGTGGTTCCACTTTTTATGTGCATTTTTTGAATCCAGAACGACCCATTCTGATCCATTCATCATGTGTTATTTTTTTAATCTGGAACGACCCGTTTTGGAATCAGAACGACCCGTTCTGGAACGTGAAAAATAAAAAGTGCTAGTTGGTGAAATAAATTTGCACGATTGCTATTTGGATAAATATTTTTTAAAATAGTATTATTTGAGTAAAAACCTCTATTTTGTCTCTCCTAATTTTTTGGAGATGCACTATTTTTTATTTCATGATTAGTTATGTAATGCTTTATTAATAAAGGCTAAAAACCTATTTTGGTCCCTTATAATAATTGTTTGTTTCAATTTAGTCCCACTTTTATTTTTGGTCTCAATTTGGTCCCTAATAAATTAATTGGTTGCAATGTCGGACTTCTGTCCAAATTATTTAAACGGAGTTAACTGTTGGTCACGTGGATGCCAAGTAGATGCATAGGTGGATGCCAAATTTCTTGAATACACCTAGAACCAGAACAGCCCGTTCTGAAACCAGAACGGGCTGTTCTGGGTGCACTCTTGGTGTGTTAATTTTGCATCTGGAACGTGCCGTTTCAGATGAAAAATTAACACACAAGGAGTCCAGCAGAACGGATCATTCTGAAACCAGAACAGGTCGTTCTAGATTCAGAATGGCCCGTTCCAGAACGCCAACTTCATGCCTGCGTTGACCAAAATGCCGCAATGTGATTCAAAAATTGAAAATAAGAATTCATAACATATCATAAATTCAAAAACAGAAATATGGTTTAGAGACTTAAAACAAAAATTCAGAACATAACATATACTAAAAAAGTTCAAAGGAATTATTGAGAAGGGAAATCATCTAGATAATGCTGAAGATGCTAATAATACATCTTATCCACCATATAGCACTGAATGGCAATAGGATATCAACATTATCTACCTGTACATGTGGTTGTGTGGTGAAATGTTAGTCTTGTGTATCCTTTTCCTTTACTTCAAATTGTACTTCCTCAAGAACAGGTTGTTGTTGTTGTTGGGGTACATCGTTAATGACTTCAAGGAAAAATACTATGTTATTTCATCCTTTACTGTATAGTGTCAATTTGGTAGTAAGTGGTTCACTCAAGTTGTAGCTCCTGCTTATCCAGGTAAAGGGAGGAGAATCTTGTCTCTTTAAAATTTTATATACCATTATGTTTATTTATTTATGTTATTTTCTTTGTACATTTATCTAGTGAGGTGTCCCTAACCTCATTTATTTGCTTAACCTTTGATTATTTTTGTCTATAATATATTCTTTTACCGTAAATATATTTATTGTAAATATATTTATAATCAACTATGATATAGTTGTGATATCTTGGACTCGTCTTATTGTTACTTCTTAACGTATTTACGAAAATAAATATTGTTCTATGGCCATAGAAGATAAAGTTTGAATTATTTGTAGCTGGAGGTTTGACCTTGGGGATTTAAATGAGTAAGAAATGAAGGTGAAATATCCTATTGTTGATTAAGGTGAAATATCCTTTTATTGGTTGATGTTATGATGATGCTCATTTATCCTGACTAGTCACTACAAGTATAATTCAAATTTTATTGTATCATGAAAATTTAATATATGATCTGTATATATATTTATATATATATATATATATATATATATGTTTAATATTGATTATAAATATTTTGTGTATCTTTTTGGAATTATTTTATTTATTGGATATTGTTCTTACTCCTCTCTTTTCTTTGTTTTTAAAATTAAATATATTATAAAATAGATGGATCTACTTGGGGTTCCAGATCATTTTGCAGTTGTTATAGCTGTTGTCTTCCTTGGAAGGAATTGGAATGTCGAGGCTATTTGATGAATCTATTATAATTTTATTTGTTATTGTAAATTTATTCCCACTATCAATGTAAATATTGTAATAGAAGTGAAAGAAAGAAATATTATGTAAAATAATACATTATTGCGAATATTTTAGAACGATATGTCATGTATTAAATTCACAAAATATTCTTTATCTTTACCTTTATCTTTATAAAAAAATTGTTAATGATATAATTGCAAAAATATTATATAAGAAAATATATAATTATTATTATATAAATCGGGCGTTACATAAGAACTGTTTTTCGTATAGATACACAAATCTTCTTTTTTTTTCCCGTCAAATCAAGTTTTTCATTTTTTTGGTATAGAGCTGAATTTAAAATTTGGAAGTATTCACACATTACTCTCGTATAAAGAAATAGACTTTTCAAATCCATGTGAGAGAATTTGGTTGGAAGATAACTAATTCATGCAAAAAAAAAAAAAGAAAAAAAAAAGACTTTTAGTTGAATAAAGGGTAAACAAATTCGATCAACTAAAAACTATTTTTTAAAAATTAAGATGGGATACTTCAAATAGATATCAAACGTAGTTATGAAATCATTAGTGGAAGTATTCACAACCAAGTCATATGTCAAATATGACACAAACAATTTTAGTTTCTTAACACAAGCAACATAAATAAAGGAATGGGTCGCACCAGAATAAGAAAACACAACAAATGGTCTCTCATTTATGAAACAAGTACCTTGGATTATATTTTCTAATTGAGCAACTTCAGCACTACCGAGGAAAAATATACTCTTCCAGTAGCTTTGGGTCATTCAACCTGTGAACTAGCTCCAACGATCCTTGCTCTCTTCAAATATGTACTAGTAGTAAGTAATGATGTGACCCTTTTATTTGCAATTGAAACAAGTCGGCTCTTGATTAGGACATCTAAAGCCATCATGCTCCGCATTACCACACCATCGGTGTAGAAATTGATCCCCCAACACTAGCAGCTCCCTTCCCTACATAAGACCCAACAAAAGATTTGCTCCCACTTGCACCAACTTGACTCCTTTGAAACTTTTCAGGTGCCGAGTAAGGCTTACTCTTTCTTTGACCTCCAAACTTTCCACTTCTAATAAGGCCTATACTCTTGTAATGTGCAACATGTGCCCTATTATCCTAGTTATAAATTATGCATTTATTCACCAAGTTAGGATAATGATATATCTATTGATAATTAATCGCCGTCTTCACCTAAAGACGAAGACCATTTACAAACTTGATGTATTTAGCTCATTCACCACCTTCACCATGGTAATACCAGAACAATGAATGAGGTCCTTAAACCAAGCAACATACTTTGCCATCGTTGTATCTCCTTGCCTTAGCTCCAAGAACTCCACCTCCTTCTAACTTTGCATGTCGTTCAAAAAATACTTCTATAGAAATACCCTCTTAAAATTGTCCCCAATTGACCAACATACCCTCAACTATCATCTATTGTAAGGTACCTTCCCACCAAAAGTGTGCATCACCAAATAGCTTGAAGGTAGCCATATTCACCTTCTATACAACAGGACATTCCATAGCCTTGAATATTTTCTCTATCTTCGTCAACAAGATCATAACAACTTTCGGGTCATTTCCCATTAAAAGATGGTGGATAATAAAGTATATAAATATGACATGATGTACTATAGAAAATTCTGTAACATGTTAGAAGTTGAGTCAATGAATGTATGACATGCATCATATGCATATATTACTCCAGGTGTGCCGCTGAGGCCGCATACCCACGACTAACAAGGTGTACCTTTGAGTCACCCACGATATGCTAACGAGGTGTATGAACACCAGTGATAGGTGTGCCTTCGGGACACCAGTGATGTAACATGCTAACGAGGTGTATGAACACCAGTGATAGGTGTACCTTTGGGTCACCAGTGATAAATTCTGAAACTTCCGTATGGCGCCACATGCATACATTAGTGAGTCAAGTCAAGAAAATCATTATACATAAGCATATATGTGAGATTGATTATATATGTGAATTATATTGCGTGTGTGTGTGCTATTTAACTTTTATTTCTATATCTGCAACTGAGTGAGAAGTTTCTCACTCCCTTGTCATTTTTGTGTATATTTAAATTATGATGCAGATAATTAGCATGAGGCTGAGGATGTTGGTGGTGAAGCTTAGGCTTCTGTTTGGGTTTCGCTCTGATAGGATGTGACATCGGGATTAGCTAGACTTATTGTTAAATTATTATTATTTTTCTTTTGTAATTTTTATGTTATTTATGTTGAAAGTGTGTATTTTTGTCATATTATAATTTTACTAAAAGATTATAAGTTAATTCCTAACTAGGAGGCTCTGCCACCTTTACTGGGATTAATCTATAATCTTTATTTTATTATTTCTTGACAATTTGATACTTACAGTTGAAAATTATGAATGTGCATCTTTTACCCAATGATACTTGAGATAATTATTTTATATTAGACTAAGAAAGAATTTATATATAGATGGTTTATATCTATTGTAATTATGTTGGGGTAGAGGGTGTCACATTTAGTGGTATCAGAGCAAGTCGATTTTATCAACCGTGTGTGTTATGTGCTTATCATGACTCTGTTGTGTACTCTGACTATGTCTTGTTTGTTGTGTACTATGATGATGATGTTCGTCCTGTGTTGATATTGTTGAGTTTGAGATTGTTAAGTTAGTTTGTAATCAGAGGAATGATAATCATGATAGTGTTAGCCAACTCGAATTATTAGAACCTTGGATGGGAGGTGATATATTGAGTGTACTAAGAGTTTATGATTGGTGAAGTTTCTGACATCTATAGTTGTAGCAGGTTGAATCTAAAGGTGGTTGTCTCTTTGGTGAGAGATCGAAATGATGTTAATTCCCTTAAGTGTTATTATTGGTATGTTAATTATTTATGGTTTAGGTAGCATGTGAGTTGTTTTGATTGAGAAAAGTAAGGAGAGACTTGAATGAGAAATTAAGTAGTGAATTTGGAAAAAGTTGAGGTATTTTGTGGCATTAGATATATTGATACATTATTGCTATTTGGTGTCGAAAATATTTTCATTATAGTTTGTTATGATAGTATGAGTATTATATCGACAAAATTTATATTTTGAGGTCTTTATGAAGAATATGGCTTTAGATATTATCTTTTCAATAGAACTAGGATAAGATGAAACAAAAATCTAGAACTTCAAGTTATGACTGCCTTGGTGATTAGAAATTTAGTAAGCACTGAATTTATTAGTGGTGATATTTGAATCTTTAGCTAAAGAGATGATCTCTTGGAAATCTTATGTCTTCATAAAGAGTTGTAGCTTATTCACTTAACTTTCGTTTGAGATAGGTTTGAAATCACTTGGATGAATACAACTCTGTGTGTCAGGTAGATATATGCTATCATGATATTTTGAGTTGTTAGGCATAAAAATAGATTTAAACTAGATTGTCTAAGTATGAATTTGGATTGTATGAGGTGAGTATTTTAGACCATGAAATTTCTTGCGGAGGAAGATCTACCTAAGTTGTGCTTAAGTGAGAGATACTTGAGTCAATTAGTAAAATCAGGAGTCTTGTTTGATAGTTTATATGAAAATTCAGTGAGTAATTTTTTTTTTAACAGCTGTTCATGGTTTAAACTGCTCTCACTATAAAAATTGCTTTTGCCTTCGTTTCTTTGGTTATTAAGATGTTTCAGTTCACTAGGTTGTTTCTTGCCTACCCTTGGAATCAACCGTAAGGATAATCTATATCAGGAATTCTTGAACCTATGTATATTTTTAACTACCCAAATCATTTCGTTGCTTACTTCTTTGAATTACTTACTATTACCTTTGACTGAATTGACTAGAAAGGAGTTACATTAGTATGGGATAACAATTGAGGAAGTAGTTTTCAAACTCTTAAGGAAAGATTGACTAGTGTTAATATTACTAGATTTTAGTAAGATTATTGTGATATATAAATATGTCTCTGAAAATAGGTTTAGGAAGAATATTGTGGCAAGAAGAAAAGATAGTAGCTTATGTTTCTAAGAAATTGAAAATTCATGAGAGAAATTACCTTACCCATAACCTTGTTAGCGACTTTGTCATTTATACTAAGATTTGGAGACACTAACTATATGATTCTATGGTTGAGGTATTTAGTGATCATAAGAACCTTAAATATCTTTTGACCAAAGGGGTTGAATACGAGATAAAAGAAATAGTTGAAATTTCTTAAGGAGTAAAATTTTGATCTTATTATTTGGCTAAAGCCATTGTGGTGATTGATGTTTTGAGGAAATCTTTATCTTTCATTATGATTAGAGAGATGAATCTTTTTGGCTCAAATTAGAAATTTAAGTTTGGATTATAAGGTTACTTCTAGTATTGTGAGATTAAGTATGAATAACGAATGGATTGTTGAAGAAAATTATAGGAGCATAATTAGTTGATTTATTTTGGTAACAAGTTATAAGGCTATAGGTTAAGGTGATGGATATGATTATGACTTGGGTGAAGATGAAATGGTGAAACTAGAGAACTGATATGGATACCGAGTGTACATTATGCTTAGGTACCTGATCTTTAGAATTGATCATAGAAGAGTTTGAATTGGTTGTAGATAGAGTAGTAAAATTAGTGATCTGATATGTGTATCTAATGCTTAGGTGTTGATGTTGTGGCAAATATCTGGATTACAATGATAACCAAATTATTATTTTGATGATTTAAGGATTGAATTTGATTGCAGAATTTAGAAACTTATGCTTGATGTGTAAGATTACCCTAGTAGCATTGAATTATTTATGTTGGAAGTAACTATCAGATTAATAGATGAGATTAGAGGAACTAGGAGTTAGATCCTTTATTAGTGACCCAAATAAGCAAGAGATTAGAAAGGACACAGTTGGATGTTTAGTTATAAAACTTGAAAGGACATAAGAGTACTCTTAACATTTATTTAGGAGTTACTAAAATGTATCAGAGTGGCGCAAGGGAAGCGTGATGGTCTAATATGGAAAGAGAAGTAGAGAACTTGAATCAAGATATGGAGAGTGAGTTTAAATTTGGAGTGGATGGAGTTTTGAGATTTAAGGATAAGTTGTGCATTCCTAGTGTGCTAGAATTTAATAAAGCAATCCTAGAAGAAGGTCATAAGAGTATCTTTAGTATCCATTCAGAAACTACTAAGATGTACCAAAATCTTAAGAAGATATTTTGTGACCTAAGATGAAGAGAGGAGTAAAGCAATTGTATATTTATGGTTAGCATACTAGAAGTTTTTAAGAATCTTGTAGCACTTAGATGCTCCATTTTGGAAGTAAGATGGTGAATAGATAGACCCTAGTGGAAGATTTGTCTAAGACGCTTAAGAAATTGATTTTGTTTGTGTTTAAGTGGATAAATTCGTCAAGATCTTTCCTTAAGCAAATCCTTTGAGGAAATTGATAAAAGTTGTACATCAACAAGGTAGTGATGTTGCATAAGAATTAGAAGTAAGAATGCGAAGAGTTTACCATTGCAAAAATTTCGGGGACGAAATTTCTAAAAGGAGGGGAGAATTGTAACATCCCAAATTTTATTCAATGAAAAGAAATATTTTTTTTTGTATTTATTATGTGAATAAGTATTTTATTTATGTATTTTACTATTTACGTATACGTATTTTACTATTTATGTATACATATTTTTACTATTTATGTATACGTATTTTACTATTTACGAATACGTATGTATGAATAGTATTTTACTATGCAATTGCACAGTGAAGGGGCGGCTGAAACGTGGGCTGCGGATTCTTTCCGTTTCAAAATTTTAATTAATTTGAATATAATAATGAATAGTGCATAGTGCATAGTAATTTATAATATTATTTTAATGAATAGTGCATAGTGCATAGTAACTTCAAAAATTCTATAAATAGGGGCCTAAGGTTTTGAAAATTTAGAATTCTAGAGAGAAGGAAATTCTGGAGAAATAGAGAGAGAAAGTAAGAGAGAGAGAAGGAGAAAGAAAAGGAGGTTCTGCTCTAGTGCCTTGTTTAAGGAGAAAGAGGAAGAGATTCTGCCCTAATTCCGATTCCTTTTAAGGAAAGATAGAGAGGAGGAGATTCTGCCCAAATTTCTGTAAACCCAGGTAAGGGGGGAGTGGGAAACCTCGCTTGGGGGTGTGGGAATAATTGTTAAATAGTTTGTTTGTTGGATTGGCTCCCGATCCCTTGCCTGTTGTTTATTTCTTTGAATATGTATTATTGATGTGTTTTGTTTTATATCTTATTTATTTACATATTAGAATCTGTTATTTGAATGGAAGGCTAAGCCTCCTAAGTATTTATAAATTTGTAATCTATTATTTAATTGGAAGGCTGAGCCTCCTTATTATCTTATATTACCTTTTAAGCTTCCTACTTTACTTAAAAGATCTTAATATATTATTATTGAAAAATATGATACCTAAGCAACCTCTGGACTGTTGGATTGTTGGACTGTTGGATTGTTGGACTGTTTGACTGTTGGACTGTTTGGACTGTTGGACTGTTTGGACTGTTGGACTATTGGACTATTAAATTGGATTATTGAAATAATTCTTAATTATGAAATATGAATATGATATGTGTAACATGCTAAAGGTTGAGTCTGTGAATGTATGACATGCATCATATGCACATATTACTCCAGGTGTGCCGCTGAGGCCGCATACCCACGACTAACAAGGTGTACCTTTGAGTCACCCACGATATGCTAACGAGGTGTATGAACACCAGTGATAGGTGTGCCTTCGGGACACCAGTGATGTAACATGCTAACGAGGTGTATGAACACCGGTGATAGGTGTACCTTTGGGTCACCAGTGATAAATTCTGAAACTTCCGTATGGCGCCACATGCATGCATTTGTGAGTCGAGTCAATAAAATCATTGCATAATTTATGAGTATAATTGTGATATTAATTATATGTGTATTATGTTGTGTGTGTGTGCTATTTAACTTTTATTTTCTACATCTACAACTGAGTGAGATGTTTCTCACTCTCTTGTTATTCTTGTATATGTTTAAATTTATGTTGCAGGTGATCATCTCGTTCTATCATCGGAACGGCCCGTTTCAAAAAGCAGAACGACCCGTTTCAAAAAGCAGAATGGCCCGTTCTGAAGTTCACGTTAACACTGATTGACCATAGTTGGAACGGCCCGCTTCCAACTAAGGTCTTTAGGCAATTTCATGACTTTGGAACGGCCCGTTTCCCTTTGGGAACGGCTCGTTTCCCTTCCAGAACGGTCCGTTGCAGGCCCGTTCTAGAACTTTGAAAAATAGCATATTCCCTCTTTTGGAACGGCCCGTTCTGCATTTGGAATAGCTCGTTCCGACTCCCAGAATTACCCTTATTTCTTTATTAACATTACGAAAATGCCATCTTTTTAAAAAACTGGGTGTTACACATAATACACATAAACTAAAATATTAATTTATTAAATTTTAATTATATATAATAAGTATATATTTAACACATGTTTGATGCATAATAGACATAAAACTAAAATAGTATTTAACAAATGTTGGTGTCAGGCAATATCACGTTTTAAATTAAGGTTTGAAGAGTGAATGATGGTCGGTCAGAAGCAAGGAGAAAAGTCCTTCAAAACTCTCATTTTCATCAACAAAAGTGTATCTTGTGATACATGCGTCTACATCTCCTTCAAAACTCTCGCTTTCAGCATCACACTCCGCTTTGACCGCGATTTATAAGTGTCAAATTTTATATTTTAGTACTAATTATTTATCTAATTATAACATTCTTTCAATTATATTATATTTTTTTAAAAAAAATTAGTTCATTTAATTGAGAGTATTAAATTTCTTAATAATTTAATTTTTTTACTTTTAAATTAATTTTTTTACTTAATCATTTATTATCTAATTAATTAATTAATATTCAAAAAAAATATATTTATATGTCTATTTATCTTTTCTAATTCAAATAAGAGAAAGTTTTTATTCAAATAATTTTACACAATCATTATATTTTGTTTAAAACAATTTTTAATTAAATAAGAGTATTTTAGAGAATATATAATTAACATAATTGACAATTAAAAGAGAGCCTTATAAAAGAAGAAAAAAGAATGAAAAGAGTCTTAGATATAGAAATAGATGTAGTAATTTTTATTACTTTATGGTTAATTTTATTTTCATTCAAGAGATTTTTTAAATGAAAATAAAAATAATCATATAAATGTGGATTTTTTTTGGATCACTATAATTTTAGCACGAATTATATTGGATAATAACTAATTTATGTCATTCACCATAAAAATTAATTCCCTATTTGATTGGTAAGAAATAGGTGAAAAATGGGAAAGAGAGAGTAAAAATAGGATTAATGATTTGTGTAACATCCTAAATTATTCTAAGTTAACCAACTATTTATTTATTTACTCCATCTTATTTGATTCAAATGAATTCTTATTATTATTTATTATTAAAAGGAAAATAAAATAAAATTTAAAATTTAAAATATAATAATAAAAAATCACACTCATAATTATATTATACATTTATTTTTACAATTTACTTACATTACAACTGTTCTTACCGGAAATCTGGTGTAGAGTTGATCCGTCAGGTAAGATCGGTGAGCCTCCTTCACGGGTACGCTGGTGTGTGTGCTATTTAACTTTTATTTTCTACATCTACAACTGAGTGAGATGTTTCTCACTCTCTTGTTATTCTTGTATATGTTTAAATTTATGTTGCAGGTGATCATCATCATGAGGATGTTGGTGATGAGGCCTAAAGGCTTCTTGGGGCATGCTCTGATAGGATGTGACATCAGGCTTAGCTAAGCTTTCTCTTGTGTCATTTTTATTCTAAAAACATTTTCTTTTCTTTTGTAATTTAATAAATTATAAATTGATTCCTAAATAGGAGGCGCTGCCACCTTTACTGGGATTAATTTATAAATCTTTGTTTTATTATGACTTCTTGAGTTTAATATTTATGTGTATGAATTATGAATGTGTATCTTTTACCCTATGACTCTTGAGGTAATTATTTTATAATAAACTATGAAAGTTTTTATATATATATGGTTTATATTTATTGTGTAATTATGTTGGGGTAGAGGGTGTCACAGACAACACAACTCCACTTCATGAGACAACTTACTCAATGAAGTGTTTTTAACTTTAGACTTTTAGAGCACCACAACTCATATCCACACAATGAGATATTTTAACTTCTTAAAACAAGCATTCTCCTCTAGTCCAAAATTAAACTTCATAGCTCAACAATATGCATCATGTATCTTTTCAACACAACTCAACTAAACATAATCATCTCAACTCATTCAACATACTACATGCAAAACTTGGAATATTATTCAATTCAACTCAACTTGCATCAATTCTACAATAGAATTCTTCAATTATTCTTGTATATGTTTAAATTTATGTTGCAGGTGATCATCATCATGAGGATGTTGGTGATGAGGCCTAAAGGCTTCTTGGGGCATGCTCTGATAGGATGTGACATCAGGCTTAGCTAAGCTTTCTCTTGTGTCATTTTTATTCTAAAAACATTTTCTTTTCTTTTGTAATTTAATAAATTATAAATTGATTCCTAACTAGGAGGCACTGCCACCTTTACTGGGATTAATTTATAATCTTTGTTTTATAATAACTTCTTGAGTTTAATATTTATGTGTATGAATTATGAATGTGCATCTTCTACCTTATGATACTTATTGTTTTATATCATTCTATGAAAATCTTTTATAAATATAGTTTATGTTTATTAATGATGTTGGGGTAGAGGGTGTCACATTTAGTGGTATCAGAGCAAGTCGATTTTATCAACCGTGTGTGTTATGTGCTTATCATGACTCTGTTGTGTACTCTGACTATGTCTTGTTTGTTGTGTACTATGATGATGATGTTCGTCCTGTGTTGATATTGTTGAGTTTGAGATTGTTAAGTTAGTTTGTAATCAGAGGAATGATAATCATGATAGTGTTAGCCAACTCGAATTATTAGAACCTTGGATGGGAGGTGATATATTGAGTGTACTAAGAGTTTATGATTGGTGAAGTTTCTGACATCTATAGTTGTAGCAGGTTGAATCTAAAGGTGGTTGTCTCTTTGGTGAGAGATCGAAATGATGGTAATTCCCTTAAGTGTTATTATTGGTATGTTAATTATTTATGGTTTAGGTAGCATGTGAGTTGTTTTGATTGAGAAAAGTAAGGAGAGACTTGAATGAGAAATTAAGTAGTGAATTTGGAAAAAGTTGAGGTATTTTGTGGCATTAGATATATTGATACATTATTGCTATTTGGTGTCGAAAATATTTTCATTATAGTTTGTTATGATAGTATGAGTATTATATCGACAAAATTTATATTTTGAGGTCTTTATGAAGAATATGGCTTTAGATATTATCTTTTCAATAGAACTAGGATAAGATGAAACAAAAATCTAGAACTTCAAGTT